AGACTTCGGCCGCTTTGTCTGGAACTCGGAAAATGGGACGTTTATGGGAAGAACGCCAGAGAAATGGGGTAACAAGGACATGACTTCACTAACCTCTCCTGCATTACATAGACTAGAATTTTTAAACCGCTTGCAACAAGTATTCTTCAGATTATTTAAAACATGCTGATAGCGCTCATTCAGTCAAGTTACATGTTAAAAAAGTGTCCTAATAACCTTTAAATCTTTTCTTTTCTTTTTGTCTGTATTTTATTTTGAATTGTTGCTGTGATCTGAGCTTTGTGACATGGTGCGCATGATGAGCACACTGTCCTCATAAAGGATTTGATGTGGTCAGCAAGAATACTCAGGAATGCTGTGGTGTTTAAATGAAGCTCAGTTGGTACTAAGATGCCCAAAGCGTGCCAAGAAAGTATCCCCCATGCTGTTACACCACCACCATCCTGAACTGGATGGAGCCATGTTTTTATGGTGTTAATGCTAAATTCTGACCCTAAAATGTGAATGTAGCTGAAACGAGAGTCATCAGACCAGGAAACATTTTTCCATCTTCTACTGACCAGTTCTTCCCATCCGTTAAGTAGCCTCGGTTTCATGCTCTTAGCTAACAGGAATGGCACCAGATGTGGTCTTCTCCTGCTGTAGCCCATCTGCTACCATTAAGGTTTGGTGTGTTGAGGGCTCTGACCCTAGATTCAAATGTCACAGCAGAAATTGAAACTGTGTGAAGCTGTAACTCAGCTTCCTGTTCTTCGATGACAGGAATGGCACCGAGTGTGATCTTATGTTGTTGTAGGTTTAATTTGCTGTGTTTCAGAGGTACTTTTCTGCAGAACTTGCTTGTAACAAGTAAATATTTGAGTTACTAATTCTTTTCTATCAGTTTAAAGCAGTCTGACCTCTGGCATCAACAAGGCACTGTCACTCTCTGGATGTTTTCTGTTTTCGGCCCTTTCTCTGTAAACCCTCTTTAAATCATATAAGTCAGGGCCGATTGGCTCGTTACACATTTACATTAAAGGGCAGTTGAAAGGCTGTACCTAATGAAGTGGCTGGTGAGTGTAGTTGTTTTTCTTTCACATAAAACATAAAAGGCCTCAACAGTATCTGTGTGTGTGTGTTTGCTGAAAGACACGCGTGATCCCGGTCACATGTCATGCACTCCTAGAGCAGCGAGAGATAAGTAATGATAAGTTTTGTGCACCCTTCTCTGCTTGACCTTACAATGAGATTAAATTCAGTTTGCAGCAGCAGAGGACACCTTGACCTCTGCGTTTCCACATTAGGCAGAGCTGCCTTGCTAGTGTGTACAGTAAATATTCTTTCTCTCACTCTGATTTTCCAAGCTTCAGAGTGAGCAACATTGATAACTAAAACACTTATTGATGTACCCATAAAGGTGTGTTAATAAACTCCTTCCTTCACAGTGTACATTAGTCTGTACTATGTGGCCTTCTACGTCATCATGACGGGGCTCTTTTCTTTGGCGATCTGGGTCCTCATGTACACCATCAGTCCCTACAAACCTGACTACCAAGATCGACTGACATCACCAGGTTACATAAATCATGAATACATAAATACATAAATAATCACAAAAGATATCTCAGTGCCTCATAAGCATCTGTTTTCCCACTCAGGGGTGATGGTGTGGCCGGACACATACGGAGAGGAAGACGTTGAAATCTCCTACAACACGTCAGAGAAGGCCAGCTGTATGGAAATGGCCAACATCCTTCACGACTTCCTGAAGCGTTAGTGTTCCCATACACGATTTATTCTGCATTATGTAACTTTTAACGTGCACATATGTCAAAGAAAATTTAAAAAAGACACCTGGCTCTGTTTTCACCTCTCTCTTTTAGCCTACAATGACACCAAGCAGCTGGAGTGCAACAACTACAACTGCACCAAGGGGAAGTACTTCATCCAGAAGACCTTCTCTGCCCCCCACCACACCAAGTGGGCTTGCCCCTTCACGCAGAGCATGCTGGGACCCTGCTCTGGAATTGAGGATCCGACTTTTGGCTACAACAGCACCATGCCTTGTGTCGTCATCAAGATGAACAGGGTGCGTTTGGTTTCACTCTGTCAGGATATTTAAGCTAGAAAAGCAATGACATCATATAATAACCAGAACTAAAAGCAAATGTTGTGTTTTGTCTGCAGATTATTGACTTTTTGCCTTCTAATAACACCGCTCGGCCCCCATATGTGAACTGCACCATACTGGTGAGCTGCATGCAGTTACTTTAAAGTAGTAAAGTAGTAGTATAATATCTGAATAAAGTAGTGGGTATAGGGTGACTCTATACTGTGGAAAAACACTGGATTCAACACATTTTCCACCTTTCACAGCTCTTTCCATCACACGCTTCCTGTCTGTTAATCTCCTGCCTTTTAAACTCATCAGCCACAGTTTAACAAAGATTCACAAAATGAATCAAGTTCTTCTTTCAATGAAAGAAAACTCTGTTTCTGTTTGGATGTAGGATGGAGAGGACAGTGTGGCAAAAATAGAGTATTTCCCAGACGGTGGAATCATGGATCCCTCCTACTTCCCATACTATGGAAATCTAGCACAGGTAAGACAGCAGATAATGATCTAATATTCAGGAGGCTTCTTCCATGTACAGTAACCTTCATTTGTTTTTAGCACAAAGACATAAAAAGGGTGAAACACCAGCCTGATACACAGAAATAATGAAACTGGTCACTCTGTGCTTTCTTAACCTCATTACTTACTTAATTTGATAACCTGAGTTGAACTGAAGAACAAAGATGAAATATATTAGTGGAGCATACAGGATGCAGAGTTATGTGCTGAAAGGCTGCAGGGACCTGGGTTTAATTCAGCCTGGACCAAATTTCCTGCCCATTCTCAATCATTTTGTCCAATAAAGGCTAAATATAGGAAAACACTAGAGGCGTTTTATTTTGCTATGGAGATCACACCCTGGGATTTTCATCTATAATGGCCTGGATGAGCCAAATACAGACAAAACTACAGTTATGGTATTTGGCCCTAAAACACAGCCAGACATTTACTCTGGGTGGAACAACTTTGATCTTCAGTGCTTTGACCAGAACTCGCTCTTTAAACGAATGTTTGTGTCTCCCTTTGTTCACATGCACAGAAGTGCTAAAATGAGAAACATCGTGTCTCATTTGCTTTGATCTCTGGATGTCAGATATGGACACCGAATTCACAGTCCTCTTTGTTGAGTGCTTGTTCACTGATGATTGTTGGATTGTTGGAGTTTTTTATTTATACTGTTGCAGGTTCTCTACCATTATTTTATCATAAGAGTCTTGAGATGATTCGGTGCCACTTCATAAGCACTTTTTTTTCTGTTCAGGTACCCTCGTTCTTATGTTGCACTTGGTTAAGGAACCAACACTCTGCCTCTTCTTCTTTCTTTCTTTCTTTTACAGCCTACTTATGTCAACCCACTGGTGGCCGTTCGGTTCAGCCTGGTCGGAGAGAAGGAAGCCAAGATCCAGTGCAGAGTGGTGTCTGAAAAGATCAGCTACGAAAACATCCACGACCCCTATGAGGGGAAAGTCATCTTTTACCTCAAAGCAGTGAAATGAACCATGTCAGATAGTCACACAGTACCACTACTCACCTGCTAGTATCATGTATCTGGATCTGTAGGGATACTTATCAAACCGCCTTTAAGTCACTTGTATTCAACTTAAGCAGTCTATAGACCTAAGTTTCCAAGTAATTTATTAATGTTGTTGCAAAATAAATTGTAAGATCTAGAAATCTGAAGGAGCAAAATTCAAGCGTTGTGACCTCCAAATGTGTCCTTAGAAACAGTGGATAAATGTATTTAAGCAACATAATGAAGAGTCTGAATAATAACAAATAAAATGATATGAACAATTATATAGTTTTGACTATGAGAATGAGCAAAATCAGAACGGTCACTTCTGAATAATAAAAATCTGAGTATCAGCTGTAGAGTGTCTGTAACTGGCTGCCGTCTCCTCGAGATAATAGGATGATGACAGTGAGGAGGTTTCTCAGGGATGTGCTGACTGCAGACTTTGTAAGTTATCAGCTTACACGGTGCAAGCATGCTGGTGTGCACACATACAGAGACACAGACGGACATGTGTAGGTGTGTCTCACATTATTATTATTGAGGTTTCCTGAGGTCTCGTAAGCCTGCTGTCGTTTTCGTGGAAAGGATTACTGTGTTTGGTGACGAGTGAATGTTTTAATCACGTGGACAGACACACATGAACGCTTCTATAAACATTCATGTGGAACTAAATATTCCACAGTCATCTGTTAGTGGTATTATAACAAAGTGGAAGCAATAGGGAACAACAGCCACAACAAGGTAGGCCACGTAAAATCACAGCAGGTTCGGTGTGGAAGAACTTGACTGGCCTGCACAGAGTCCTGAGCTCAACCCCACACCTGAGCCAGGCCTTCTCATCCAACATCAGTGTCTGACCTCACAAATGGATGAATGGACAAAAATTTCCACACGTTCCTCAATCCTGTGGAAAGCCTTCCCAGGAGAGATGAAGCTGTTAGAGATGTAAATGGTTGACCAACATCATATTAAACCCGACGAATCTAGAAGGGGATGTCGCTCAAGTTTATATGCGTGTGAAGACATACGAGTGTATGTAATACACTTGTATGTCGTATGTCCTCCACACTATTACACCATCTGGTTTTGTTTTTCAGATCATTCTCTGTAAACACTAGAGACGGCTGTGTGGGAAAATCCCGGCATCCTGATCTGATGATTGGTTTGAACTTCAGCAGGTGGTCTTAACCATGCGATTGGCTGATTAGAGATTTGCAACTGAACAGGCGTAGCTAACAAAGTTCCTGATTATTGTAGATTTTTTCAGAAATGAACCTCTTAAGCAACTTTTTGCGTCTCTACAACACAACTACAGTTAATTAATTGCCAAGTTTCCCAGTGCAATTACTGGATCAAAGGAAGAAAGCAAACACGAGACCAAATAAATTCTTTGTTGTCATCTTCTTTTTAATAAATAAAATGAATTTAGCAGTTTAGAAATACACAATCATGAATGAAAACAGCACTTCTTTATGACTTGTAGTGTCTGCCATGACCACCAACACACATGTATGTAAACAGAAAAGAAAGAAACAGTATCTGAGAATCATATTAAAATATTCAGTAACCTGGCTGTTGGACACACATTTACATTGCACTTTATGGAAGATAAGACACTTACAGCACAAGATGAGCAGGAATACACTCCTCAAAGTCTTGTTTTTAGTGCAGAGAAGTGTTGAGCAGGCACATAAGTTTGACATTCAGGGTTAACTAGTGCATTTTGTATTCAAACGTAACGTCAGCGAAGAGTTGTCATTAGTGTCTGATGCATTTCTGCTCCTAAAATCATGTATTTCATTATCTACCTTCTGAGTTTGTTAGTAGTGTGACCTACCACGGTGTTCTGACATTTGCCAAGAAAAAAGAGTAACAAACTACAGTCTTCAGAGAGTGCTATTATAGCAAAATTCACAGTAGCACGATGATCAGAATAACCCACTTCTGATTAAATACAGCACACAGAAGGTTTTTACGTCAGTCAGAAGCACAATCTGTCATCTACGATAACCAAGAGCCGAAGAAGACAAAGTGAACAGTAATATAGTCATCTAGAAGAACGCCGGAGGTCGTTTTACATAATACAAAAAAAAAAACTTCCCAAATATTTCACCTATTCATAAGATCACAAAACAATATATGGAGATGTGTTGAACTGTCATGTGATTTCTACATGGAGGAGGCAAATCTAAGGTTCAAATTGCATAAGTGACAGAATGACTGATGAAACAAGTGTCTGAAAATAAGAAGAAAGGCATTTCTGACATCAAAAGCGTCACAGCGTAAAGGATCTCTTATCTGTTGTGCTTCTCCTCAAAACATGTGCTTTCTATCAAAGGTTTTTTGTAAGTAGCAGACACCACCGAGCCTTACAGATGTTTCCAGAAAATCAAAGCGGTTCAGTGATGTTGCGGTTCTGTAGATTACATGTAAAACTATTTCAGCATGTGATATTAAAATACAGTATAGTTTATCTAGCACATACACTACATGTTACACCAATTTGGACCATACCTAGGATGGAGAAACTGTAATGAAGGCTTTTTTAACAGTCAGAAGCAGGCTTTGATTAAGGACCTCAAGTCACTCTCCTCTAAAGCAGCAGATTGAGTCAGTACAAGAAGAAGAAGAAGAAGAAGAAAAAGAGGGAGATTTGGTCCTGCATAAATAAAACTTCTTGTTATGCCACTGTTATTTCTGCAAAACTCAAACGAGAACCCTTTGGCGCTGAAGTCAGTGTGGTCATGTGACTGGTCTGCGTTCGGTGCGGGGAACCCATCTGTGTGTGGTAACCTTCCAGAGCAGCGGAGCCAGCAGCAGACTGAGAGTGGTGACGCTGAGGACCAGCAGGTACACCTGCACAGAGCCAGAGAGGCAAACCAAATAAAGATCCAATAATCAGATGGTGAAATGTCATTAACACAGACTTTGAATAAAGCTAATTTAACACTCTTTTGATTTATTCCACAATGATACCCCAGGGAGAGAGATGGATGTTCTTAAATGCCAAGATATCAGTGACATAGACGGTCGTCCTAGTCACGATTCTTTACGATGCAAAGATTACTGCGTCATTATAGGATTAGCTTAGATCAGAGATAATAGGTCTTTTGGCTAAAAACTAACCAATGCAGTTGGTTCTTCTTTGTAAATAGACAATGGATGATTGACACTACACATGAAGATCTGCCCAGCTACTGTTCAAACCTGTTTTTGGGAGGGGCAGCCAATCAGAAGAAAACTGGCTGAAAGGGAGGGGCGAGTCAGCTACAGCTCAGAATAAGATAAAAGTATTGACCTGAACAGGGTCTCGTCTAATTCTGCTTTAAACAATCATTAATAAATGATTATTTAAGGCAGAAGACGAAGCAAACAAAAGTCAAATTGAGCACCTACTATATTCTCCTCTGTCTGAATAGTAAAACAGATGCCAACACTAACATAAGAGGTAATCACTGACCTCTCTGGAGATGATGCCAGCTCGACGCGCACGACTGCCCAGGACGAAGGAGAATTCGCTGACCTGAGCGAGGCCAGCAGAGACGATCCACTGTATGTGCCGAGACCCTGGAGGCAAGATTGCTGACAGCACGAGTACAGCCATCATAAACTGGAAGGAAATAAGGAGTCAAATGAAACAGAAACTGGAGCTAGACAAAGAAAAGCAAAAAACAAAGACAAAACACAGGAGTAGTCTGTACCTTCATAATGACGAGTGTGAGAGTTAGCGCCAGCAGGATGGTGAGTTCATACAGCACAAATGTCGGGAACACGTGGAAACCTGCAGCATCACACAGACACACACTTACCATTCAGTAAAGTCACGGTAAACAACACAAAACTAACACAACACCAAGGTCAGATCAGTCACATGATCGCGTTCAGGCTAACCGATAGAAGCAAAGAAGATGATGGCAAGGAAGTCTCTGATCGGCTCGATGCATCCCATGACCTCTGCTGTGACCATGTGACCCTGTGAGGACAGCAAAGCTCCAGCCAGGAAACAACCGAGCTCCATGGAAACATCCAGCACCTCAGTTACCTGCAGTATGAGTCAGCAAGAAAAGAACCAGCACAGACACACAACGGGTTAGACAAGAACATGAAATACATAATAAGTGAATAAAGTGAGATCTTTATCTAAAGAAAAGGTTAAAAACAGACAGCATACTGTCAGCATGAAAAAGACAAAAGCTGCCATCCCCAGCACCAGGATCTCCCTGTTGCCTTTGCTCTCAGTGTGAAGCTTCTTGTAAAAGGGGCCAATCAGGAATGATCTGAAGAGCAAGCAGAGCAGCAGCACAGCAGCCAGCGACACCAGGACCTGGGCCAGGAGATAGAGCACGTGGAGGCTGCCATACAGGAAGCTGCGGTGCACAGAGGGAAGAGTTTACAATGCTGTGTGCGTGTTTACACAGAGCACACATGCAATAACAACAGAAAGACCAACACACCCGTCCAACTCTCCACTTTGTGCCTGGATCAGAGTCGGCATGACAGCGATGAAGAGGCCGAGCTGAACATCTTGCATCACCAACATCCCAAGGAGAACGCTGCTGTAGTCCAGCTCAGCTGCCACACACACACAAACACGTTAATGATCACTGGCTAAGGAAAACACTCCTAGTAATCAATATTGTATAAGCGGATGTAGTGTGATATTAAATTTGCCTACATTAAAATGTGTAAATTACCTAGAGTAATGGCATGGGAAAAGGCCTGTGGATAGGCAAGCTGCTCTTAAATGTAAAATAAATGTGATTTTTCTTCACTGTGAGCAAAAATCATTTACCGCTGCTGTGCTAGCAGAAGTCAACACAGGCATGCAGGTCACAAAATCCTACTCAGCTATATACTATCAGAGGTAAGGGAGGATCTGCTGAATGCTGCTATAACTGGTATCTGAGGTATGCTTAACTTTCTGGAATGTGGCCAGAGGGATAAATATATATTTTCTCTGTTTTTTATCTTTGAAATGGAAGTAGTGAAGAGGAAAAACCAGCTAGTCACATCTCATAGCAATTAAATGCAACCTGTTCTCTTCATGTAACAGACACACACGGTCTGTTTCGCTCAAACGCTTTAAACAATCTAATGAGAAGACTTTCAAAACACTTGTGTGAAAGTGCATTCTTCTAAGGTTTTATTATAGAACATAACCCCTTAGCAGGTCATAAACTAGGTTAGTACAACCGCAAGCAACATCAGCCTCAGGTAAACAACAATACAAAATATTATACCATCTCATTATTTATTGAACAAAACTACAGGAAAATGCAGAAGCAGTGTGTGGAAAAATTAAGCACACTTTCCCGCTTTCATAGGAATTAGGAGGTAAGTAGCATTCAGGTACTGCTAATCAGATACATTTAACTGATCATCAGCAAGTGTGATCACCTCTATGAAAGCAGAATTTTTGTCAGTTTGCTGGTCTTGAGCGTTTCTCCTGCTAAAGGTGGTTCTAAAACCTAGAAGCTGTATGAGGTGGATCACCTCATACAGCTTCTGCATTTTGCTTCATTTGTAAGAATGAAGCATTTTGGCTTCATTCTTACAAAATACACAAGGACACTGTGTAATGTATCATGCGTTATTGTTCATCTGATACTGTATTTACCTAATTTTAGGACCTGGTAATAACCAGATGATTGCTTTATTATGTCCTGACACATAAAACACAAACCTTCCTTATCTCCTCTGCTTCCTCCTGCCAGGAAGCGGGACACCAGTGGAGTGCTGGACAAGGACAAACAAGTAGAGATGAAGACAGTCTGGGTGGGTCGAATATGCAGGACTTGTCCCCACAGCAAACCGGCTCCTACCATCAGCAGACTCAAAGAGCAGGAACCCTGAACTGAAATCTTCCATACCTATGCACACATAGACAGGTTGATGACTGGATGATGACTGTCCATAAAGTAAGTAACAGAGGCTTTAAAAACAAATGGTATTAAAACAACTAGACTGTGAGCAATAGTGGATTTTACAGAAACATTCTAATACTGATGTGGAATTAAATCTAGATGTATCAGCCAATATTCTTCAGCATGTCCGCTGCTACTTAAACTTTTTCTAAATTATCCCAAGCATAAAAAAAGCTTCTATATTAGCACAAACTGGACAGTAATTACACATTACATTGGCAAACATCAGCTGCTAACATCCAATATATGTCTGCGTAGTTTCTCGGTCATCCAGGTCACTGCTGTTTAAGGAGGTTAGAAAGAAAGCGACCAGACTTCTTTTAGTTTTCTTTTAAAATCATTTCTCTTCTCATCCAAGAGGCTTCTTCACTTCTAAAACCAAAAGGTTGAGAGTCCCAGGTATTTAAACCCTTGTGCGGTTTTCAAAAAACGTAAAGTCCAGTCACCTTCTTTTCAGCTCTAATAATATACCAATCAGGCTCTAAACCAGGGGTCTCCAACTCCAGTCCTCAAGGGCCGCTGTCCTGAAACTTTTCCATGCGTCCCTGCTGCAACACACCTGAATACGACTAGTAGGTCATTAGAAGGACTCTATAGAACCTGACTGCATGCTGAGGTGGCAACTCAGCCATTTGATTCATGTTCCAGCAGCTCATGAGTGAATGAACATGGTGCAATAAAAGTACATTATTCCTAACACTTACATTTACTTAAACTGACATGAGTAGGGTTAGGGGTTGCCACCTCAGCATGCAGTCAGGTTCTATAGTCTTGCTAATGACCTACTAATCGTATTCAGGTGTGTTGCAGCAGGGTCGCATGGAAAGGTTTCAGGACAGCGGCCCTCGAGGACTGGAGTTGGAGACCCCTGCTCTAAACCAAACATTGAAGGACATAAAAGTATTGTTTTAAAAGTTGCTTTCATACTGATGTTGGTTAATTCGTGTCATGCTGCACCACCGCAATACAACACACAGAACAGTTTGACCATGTCATTGGCATCAGTGCCAGACTTGCCTTTGTCTTTGCATTATTCCAAAAGCAAAATCTTCTTCATTTACCTTTCTGAGGCGCTCAGGTGAGAACTCCAGTCCGACCACAAAGAGAGTGAAAAACACACCCAACTCCCCGAGAGTCTCCACCTGAACCATAGACTGCAACAAGCAAAGCCGAGCACAGATATAAACAACAAGCACAGAAAGTAGAAAAAAAGACTGATTTAAAAAAAATTAATTACAGTCTCGCTCTCACACACCTTGATGCTGTTGAGCCCAGAAGGACCAAGCAGGACCCCGCAGATGATATATCCAAACATGGGAGGAAGACCCGCCAGAGTGCAAATCCAGCCACAGGGCAGAGACAACATCACCACTGAAACCAAGTCCTGCACATACATGTTTAAAAAAACGTCAATACTGACTAAAAACGACTCAAAACAAATTAATACAGAGTATCTGCTTCTTATACACATGAGGAATGACTGACTTTGATAAAGTGGTGGTCGGCTCTCGGCATTGTTGAGTCTCGCGGTTTAGTCAGAACATACTGGTTGTTCTGCGAGTCAATGAGCATGCTCAGTCCCAGGTCATCCTCCACTTCCTTTTGCCTGGACTTGTTCTTCCTCTTGCTTCCATTCTCTTCGTCGTCTTCCACTCTCAGCACGGCCTCTACATTCACTCCTTTCATCTACACAGCACACAGCACGGAAGGAGCTACAATCACTATCATCTTCAGTTTTTGAGTAACCAAAATATGTGACAGTGACTGTCTGCAGACCTGCTTGTTGTTGTCAAAGGCGTGCTCTTCGATCTCCTCCTCAAGTCGGTCGGCTGCCTTCCTGACATCCTCCAGGATCTCATCCAGGATGGACAGAGTCTTGTTCTGGGCCAAAGCGCTTTTAACAGCTTCCTGCTGATGCTTCTCAGCCGCCACCAGCTCCACGTACTCCTGTTCTTCCTGAAGTGAGATAAGAGGGGCCATGCATATGTTAGGAGAGATGAATGTAGGAAATGTGTATTAAAGATTCAGTCTTAAATTTTGAGGTCTGTAGGATGATCATATCAACAGTCTCCTATATTCACACAGGACTTATTTGATAATAAATTTACATTTTGGATAGTCTTTTTTGGAAGGATCCAATTCTGCTACAGGTCTCTTCCTGTTAAAAGACAGTTTTTTCTTTCCACTGTCACCAAAGAGCTTGCTCATAGTGGGTCATCTGATTGTTGGGCTTCTGATATTTCCCTGTCCTTTGAAAAACTGAGATACAAATAATGAAACACAGCTGACTTCACCTTTATGGCTGCCTCCCTGAGGGCCTCCAGCCTTTGTCTGCTGCTCTCCTTCATGTTGACCACATCCTTGTAGTCTCCCTGTAGCGCTCTCTGCAGGCTGTGCAACGCCTGGAACACGAGGTGCTCGCTCTCATTCAGCTCTTTCTGCAAAACCTCCAGAGTGTGAACCTTAATGCAGACAAACAGAAACTTGTCAATCGGTAAAATGTCTCTGGTCATCTTTCACTGAAGCCACCGTGTGCAGTGCAGTTTACAATTCTTCATCGGAGACTGGACATGACAAACAGGACAAAACAGATTGTGATGAAGCAGGTTACAATAGGATGATGGTGCATTTTATGTGACTCTCGGCACACATCAGAAGAGGCACTTAAACACAATAAAACAACTGAATGCACACTATCCGTATATGCAGAATAAATATGTGCAGAAAGTCACATGTTGAATTTAGATGGATGTCACAGCTCTGGGGAAGAAACTGCCTCTCAGTCTGGTGTTGTGTTTTAGTGAGTTAACCAGAAGGCATTTCATTCAGATAGTTTCAGAGGTAAACTAGAAAAAAAAACTTTGAAGATTTGAAGAAACCACATTAAATTTAAATGTGTTTTCAGCTTGGTCTGGTATAAAAGTCTAAAAGTGGTGCTTAGCTATTTCTCCTGTTAGTTGTTTTAATCAAACCAGTCATCTTATCGCTACATGCACAAATCATAGGAAACATGAATTATAAGCATGCACAGTCATTCTGTGCAACAGTCAGAGAGGCAAACAGTTTAGAGACCTAAAGAAGAATTACAGGTTATGCAAAAGTTAAATGTCTCTAACTCTTCAGTGGATAACAATTTGAAAGGAGCTCTTGGCTCCATTAGATTGCTTTTTCTCAGTCTGGTACCTGGAAGTGTTTCTCAGTCTCTGAAAGGCTCCGGTCTTTCCCAACAGCATCGGCAGCAGCCTCCAGCTTCTTGAAAACCACATTTTTCTGACGTAGGAGGCCCACCAGCCGCTTGCAGTTACCAGCCACCCAGCTCTGCCCGTGTGCAGCCCTGTTACTTCGATAGAGCTTGACGGCATGCTGGGCCACCTGGTCTTTGTGGACCACGGCAGATGCCCCTGCCAGGCTGAGGCACAGCAGCCAACATACAGCCTGCATCCAAAGTCCTACTCGTGTCTTCACCAGGGTGTGAGGGGGACTGAAGACGGGTGTGAGGCCTGGATATGGAAAAGGGATTTTTTTAAAAAGTAAAAAAAACCCAAAATAGTATGACAGATTAAGATGGGTTGAGTGTCAATGCAAATATATCTATATATCAGCCAGTCATATGGCAAAAATTCAATGCATTTGTTGACATGGTTGAGACAACCTTCTGGAACTGAAGCTGAGCATCAAAATGGGAAAGAAATGTGATTTAAGTAATCCCCTTAAAACCAAACTACCATCTACCCATCTCCCAATGGCTCCTTCCTGTAGGATAACACACCATCTCACAAAGCGCAAATAATCTCAAACTGGTTTCTTGAACATGACAATGAGTTCACTGCACTCAGATGGCCTCCACAGTCACCAGATCTCAATCCGTAGAGCACCTTTGGGATGTGGTGGAACATATGACTCAGATCATGGAGCCATGTGTGATGCTGTCATGTCAATTTGGACCAAAATCCCTCTCCCATGTTTCCAGCACTTTTTTTTTTAATATAAGCCATGAAGAATTAAGGCAGCTCTGAAAGCAAAGTGAGTGGTGTTATGTGAGATACAGTGTGTACTTATGCAACCTGTATATTTACTATTGTTATACCAGCAGCCTGTTCAGTCTTTAAGCAGGGTGTGGTGGCAGCTGAACATGAGTTCCGTCTTGCTAGCAGTTCTTATTATTAAGCTTCACCTTAATGTGACTGAATGCTTAACCTGTAAAAAATTCCAGAGCTGCTTCCTCTGCTGCCTTCATCAAATACGCTGCAGTGTATATAGTGAGGAAAAGGATTGTATTTAAAAAAGAAACAACCAAAAAAAACAAAACATCCAGGTTGCTTTACATTGAATCTTTATCCACACCAACACTGAATACATTCAACTCACAGCCAAGGCAGTCTGCACTGTTGTGAGCATGAGTCAAGCTGAGAGATGTTTACTTTCCAAACTCCTCCTATGTCCTTCTTCCTTTGGGCTAGGCTGCAGACGCTCTGCCACTGCAGCTAGAAATCAGTAATACCACTGTTCCGTCTTGAGCTGCTGAAATGGACAAGCACACATACGCACACACAGGTTCTCAGATTTAAGGTATTACAAACTTGAAAAAAGCCATGTCAGCCTCAGAGAATTTAATGTAAACAAAACCAGAAGTGCAGTTTAAACATTTCCCCTACATTTCCTTTCACTTTACAAAGCCTGATCTATGAAAAAAGACCACGTATACACCATGAAAAACTAACAATGTTAAATTACTATATAACAGGTTATGTATGTTAAAAATAAAACACCAATGCCATTATAAACAGCCTCCGTTCTATTATTATTACTGATACAGTAACATTAAAGGTTAATGTTTTATTTGGTTTCGATAGAGTAGATTTTTTTAAAATATAATACATTGCTTTGGATGATAAAGTCTTTGTTGTTGTAGTGATGTAAAAAGAAATACTCAAGTAAAATGAAAATGTTCCTTCCCACAGGTGATCTGCACTAAACTTTGGACTCGTACCTAAAACTTGAAGTTTTACCTTGTCAGGATGTGCATAAAAAACACATAAAAAATGGAGCACAGACGTGTCAATGTAAAATAAAACGGGGAGGACATTTAGCTATCTTAATAACACACACCGCCAGGTATGAATGACATACCGAGGAAACAGCACGGACAGCCAGTGAAATCACCCATTTTCTTCACTGTCCCAAACACAGATTACTCGACTTCTATGAGTGGGTATATCAGCAGAAACAGAGGAGTAAAGAAATCACTACCTGCGAAATGTGTGTACTGTCCTGGCTCTCAACTCCACGACTGAAGGAGCAGCAGAAGAAGAAGGAAACAATCGTGCTGTTGTGCCGCACTACCACCACCCCTCCTCTCCTGCCACATAGCTGGAGACAGCGTCGGTGCAGGCGTTCACCGGTTTTTACTTGGCCACCAACTTCATGTTTACTCCGACCTCCGGGCCGTCGGTAGCAGTGTCGGTGCAGGCAGACAGGAAGGGGTAACAATACTTTTTTTTCCAGGTAGGTACAAACGCCCAGTCCCTAAAATAGCTGAGTTAGTTCTAGTGTGGCTAAAGTTGAATAAGCTGTTAGGTAAAGCTAAGTTAGCTTCCAAATTGCCCGGAGCTGTCAGACCAGCTCCAGCCAGCTGAGTCCACACACACACTTGTGACACAGCCGTTAACGCTATCTCAACTTTGCTAACATTAGCAAAGAAATGACAGTCGTGTGTGTGTCGACAGCGGATCCCCTCCCCATTTACACCAGGCGCAACTAAAACTAAACAACCCCTCCTCTGCTTTCAGAACATATTCCTGTCGATAAAAATTAAAGATCCATCTTCAGATTACTTCCGAAACATCTTTATCAGATTTGATATGGGAGTTGTAGTTCTCAGGTGTTTTGCGTTTTCGACTCGACTCTTGCGTCAAGTGCTTTTACGTTATGGCAGCGCTTCTCCGTTTTTTATTTTTATTTTTCGGTTATGACACATTTTCACTGTTGTGTAAAGTCGTATTATTTCGGTGAAGCGAGAAAAAACACCGTTAAATTAGCTCCACGCCTAGTTCTATGACCCGTCCCCCTCAACAAGGGTTATACTCACGGTGTAGTATCGCAGTAATAGACGCGGAGTAATAATGAGACTTTTTAGGCGGTGTCAGAGACGTTGCACAATATTTAAGAATAAAACAAGTATTTTACCGAAGCGGGGGTTGTATCTTGAATTTCAGCGGTGCTGAACTACATTACCCATGACTCCAATTGTCGTACAGTAGCCCAGTTCTTTTGCGCATGCGCGCCTGGGGGAAATTGGATCTCAAGTTGGCTAAAACAGCGGGTGATAAAAATGGTAGGTGAGATTAAAAATGAGAAACCGTTAGAGTTGTTTATCATCGTTTATGAGCTCCTCAGACAGTAACAGCTGTCTCTGACGCTCAGGGGTCACTGCAGTGTGCGGGGTCGGGGTGTCCGCGGCCAAGTGTCGCATCGTCAGAGGAGATGTGTGTCAGGAATGTGAGGGGAAACGGGAGGTCAGTTGTTGATGTTTTTGAGACGGGATGCATGCACTTGCGCCACGTACCTTTGCCTTTATGGGGTAGCTCGTCTGCGATGCTGACCCAGGTGAGGATACCCCGTGAAGGATCCCTCCCCCGTGCCTAGAAGGACCAGGTCGACGAGCTGTGGCCTGCCATAGTGCGTTTGCTGTTTGATCATCGCGTGGGTCAGGTCTGCAAAGACGGGCCACATGATCAAACAGCATATTCGTGGACTAACCGAACCTCGTGGCCGTGCATTTGCAAGTGCTAACATCAGCGCTGTGGCACACCTGGTTTCCAGCCTTTTACTTTTTAATTACATGCAAAGCTTAAAGTAGTGAGAGACAGCACAGCAAGTTTTCTGTGGAGTTTCTAGTGAAAGCCTCAACTTGAAGGGAAGTCTTTGCACTCTAGCGTACTCTAATAGCACTTACCCTGTATGTTTGAATGTTGGTGTGCAGTCTGATGATGCATGGCAGGATTACCAAAGCTGGCGAAGTGGGGGACCTGTCCTCCATTACCCCAGGACTTAGAGGGGTCCAGAATTTGTAATGTTGGTTTGATGAGCATTATTTGAATTTATATGCAGCTTGAAATATTTTAATTACTTGAAAGAAGGGCCTGTGTCTAGGGATGGGTATTGATAAGATTTTCACGATTCCGATTCCATTTTCGATTCTGTTTAACGATTCGATTCTTTATTGATTCTCTTATCGATTCTTATTTTTTAAAAAGGAGAACACTAAGGTCGATTAGCTTAGAACTTTGTTTTATATCTTCTCTTTGAACAAGGTAGAAATTTAGGAGTAACATGGCCTTACAAACCCAACAGTGAGATCTTAAGAGGTCCAGCCTATGGCTCTTCAATGGGGTGTCACAGGGTTCCCAGGAAAAAAAAATTGTAAATGTAAAATAATAAAATAAATATTCTCCCATAGCAATAACAAAGTGTAACATAAATTATTCAGTAGCAATTACACAAGAATATCCAGTAATGTCCCTGCCTCCAATTAAACACATTCACTTACCAAAGTGAAATCGGGGCATCTGCTGTGGCAAATAGGTTCAAGCCTTTTACCACAAACTTAGACACTGCTCGGTGACATTCGTCTATCCTGGCCTGAAAGGAGACGCTACCGGTAGACTGCAGCGAGAACTGCCAGCATCTGAGCCAGCCAGCCTCTGTCTCATCATGGTCATCTAAATGCACAGTAATGGCAGGTTTTGTAATAAGGCAGATCGCGCTAACATAATATGCACTGTTAGTTTACCTGCCGCATTAACGGGAGAGGACGTGCAAACGTTACCGCTGCTGCTGGGTTGAGATTCACGAGTCCGGAGCGGAATTAAAAACACGACATCATTTAAGGTCATCGCGTGTTTTGTGAGCAAATGCTTTTGCATATTCGCAGTGTTTCCTCCCTTAAATGAAATCTCTACTTTGCAAGTATTGCAAGTTGCCCTGTTGTCATCCGTTCTTATAAAGTATAACCAAACTTTTGAGCATTTGAGCTGCTTAGGCACCGTGTTTCCTGCCAGGTAAGCAACGCTCTGCAACGTGGTGACGTCATTCGGGGCGACTGGAATCGATAAGGGAATTGTTTGCAAAAATGGCAAACACTTTCAAGGAATTGAAACAGTGGGAACCGGTTCTCAACAAGAACCGGGTTTCGATACCCATCCCTACCCGTGTCTATCTTACCTTATCACATTTGATACTCTTTCCTATTTCATTTATATTTTGGCCCCTGCATTCACCTGCATCCCTCCTTACTTTCCAGCACAAGCTGAAGTCATCACAGAAGGACAAAGTTCGGCAGTTTATGTCCTTCACGCAGGCAGGCGAAAGGACAGCTGTGTACTGCCTGGCACAGAATGACTGGAAACTAGAAGTCGCCACAGACAACTACTTCCAGAACCCAGACCTCTACTACAAAGAATCCATGAAAACCTCAGTGGACCGCAAGAAGCTGGAGCAGCTCTACAACAGATACAAAGGCAGGTGTCAGGGATTGAAATCGGAGCGATCCGCTCATTCCGTCGCGCTCATTATTTTCGGCTTTTGTTGTAGATCCCCAGGATGAGAACAAGATAGGCATCGATGGGATCCAGCAATTCTGCGATGACCTGATTCTAGATCCGGCGAGCATGAGCATACTGGTGGTGGCGTGGAAGTTCAGAGCAGCCACGCAGTGCGAGTTCAGCAGGAAGGAGTTCCTGGATGGCATGGCTGAGCTAGGGTGAGCAGTAACTGGCTTTGAAATCTATTTTGTGATTAACTGTACTGCATTTCTGACATAAGAGTGTATGTACTGTGCCGTTTGTCTCTGTAAGACGAGTCATACGAGTATTTAAGGTTTCATATTTCAGACTTTACATCATCATCATGTCCTACAGGTGCGACAGCCCTGAAAAGCTTAAGGCCATTCTTCCCAGACTAGAGCAGGAGCTGAAAGACTCAGGAAAGTTCAAAGACTTCTACCAGTTTACCTTCAGTTTTGCCAAGAACCCAGGCCAGAAGGGGTTAGGTAAGAATGACAGTGTGTAGGGAAAACACTGTTTTTAATCAAAAACATGAAGCATCCACCCTTAAACAGATTTTCTGCTTTCTAGACCTGGAGATGGCCGTGGCTTACTGGAATCTAGTTCTCACAGGTCGGTTCAAGTTCCTGGATCTGTGGAACCGCTTCCTGCTGGTGAGTGTGGGATGTTCTGTTGTCTCCCCGTTCTTTTCATTTTTGGATCAGTGGGACATTTGGGTATCTGACATGCATGAATCGATTTCCCTGGCATTTCAAGCATGCTTTGTCCATCTTGTTGACCTATATAAAAGAAATAATCCAATCCCCCACATTGATTTTTGACAGTTCAGAGTTATCCCACCTTTAATTGAGGCTGTTTGTTTGTTGCCTTTGTAATTTAAAAAAAAAAAAGTTGGTTTTTTTTTTTGTTTTTTTTTTATGATCACAATGAAACTCCAAACGTTTCCTGTTGCTGTGCTGCATTCAGGAGCATCACAAACGATCGATTCCCAGGGACACATGGAACCTCCTCCTGGACTTTGGCAATATGATTGCAGACGACATGTCAAACTATGATGAGGAAGGTGAGCTAACGAGTCTGGATGAAGATGATCGGTGAACACATTGAAAGCTCATCAGTTGTAACATTAAATACGAATAATTCAGGGTGTTGTCTCTTTGTCTGCCCCTACGCCAGCGCACAAGTGACTTGAAGTACTGTGCAAATGCTTTGAGCCACCAATAATTGCTTTCTTTTGCTTTAAATGAGCCAGATTTTCTAGTAGTTCACATTTCTTAAGCTAAATCTATGATAAAGGCCAACAATAAGTCAGTTTGACAGGTATAAAATTGTATTTTTTCAGCAGCTAAACAGCTCTTAGCAAGAACTGGGTATATCTCAATAGGGTGTGTTGTGAATCTAAAAAGAAAATGAAGGAAAGTCGACAAGTAGCGGGCAAAAGAATTGGCAGGCCGTTAAAAACCATCTACAGCAGAGTCACTTCCTTTAAGGCCACCCTTTTATCTAACTTTCTTATCTCTGATGTCTTGAATCGTGATTTCACTACTTAAATCTTGGTTATTTATATTCCCTCTAACATATTCCCCTTCTGCTCACTCTCCTCAGGGGCCTGGCCCGTCCTGATCGACGACTTTGTGGAATTTGCTCGGCCGATTGTGATGGGGACCAAACGCAACGTGACATAATGTTTGTCCCGGCTTCATGCAGCGGATTGAGTTTCGCATTTCTTCCTGTTTTCTTTTCCTGAATGAGGTTTTTGATACAAACGAGCCAAAAATGAGACTACTTCTAATTAAGCCTGACTGCAGCTTTTTCCATTAGGA